AAGAAGATCGGTGCCAGGACACCAGAGCTGCATTTTTAATCTCTCATCTTGCTCTCAAAGAACTGAAGGTATTCTTAAAAGTCTCAGAAAGCTTGATGAAGCAAGTGGACTCCCTGATTCCCCAAACAGCGTTTCTCTCTCAAGCACAGAGTTGGGTTGAGTAGCACCCAGTTCACTTGGCATCTACCTGTGTGCACCATGCTGTCATGGTGAGGATGCCATTATGTGTCCGTTGTGTGCCAACCATTATGTGTCCACTGTCAGCCTCATGGTGTCACGTTAATACTTCCTAGTTGAAACAGACCCAAGAATACACCAGCTCAATAGCCCTGATGGGGTTGCAGGCCTTAATATTTTCCAGCACCTCCTCCTAGCGAAACCCAGCATCTCTTGCTTCTCTATCTTGTTCTGTTTTCTAGAGTTGTGTGGTCTAGGTCGTGTGTATATTTTTCATCTCTTGCAAGCTAATAGGTTCATTTAACACGCCCATGAAAGAGGTTTTGTCCTATTTGCTGAAGATTGACTTCCTATCATCGCACATGGGCCCAGCACCAGGAGACTATTTGTTGCTTCACCATCTTCCTCTGTGTCTAGACAGCCTAGACCTTCTGGCTGAGGGCTTTTGGAGACTGCAACCTTCAAGCAGAGCTTTATCTTTCCCAACAAGCCTCCAGTTACTGGCGTTTCTCCATTTGTGTCTAATGCTCGTAGTGGGAGAAAACAAGGTTACCTGGGCAGAGGAAAACCTGGAAATAGAATCTGGAATTGAATATAACTGTAATATAAATGGGCCATTTTTGAAATATGCCATAAATTATGAGCCATCATGAAGGGACTAAATAGAAAAACAGCAGTGTGTGAAGGTCTGCCACTGTTTGTCCCCTGTGGTGGTCAGCTTGTGTTAAGCATCTGATTTGATGTTAGTTGATGCCACTGGATCCTCCCTGTTTAGTTCAGTGGAAGATTGTTTAGATATTCAGTTTACAACTCACTCTTCTCTTAATACCATCCTTCTTTATCCACAAGTATGTGGCATACATGTGGATTTAAGATGTAATTTTTCTCTTTTTTTTTTTTTTAAAGGGAGATTGAGTATTTGAGTGGTACTCAGCAGCTCAAGGAATCGGACTTGAAATAACTAAACTTTTCATTGAAGAAAATGCCATGTGCTCTAGGAAGTGGTAAACATTTTGTGTGGAGGAAAGACAAGTAAGAGAGTTCAGTTGTCTTCATTCATCATCTTTTAATAGGGAAGCTTGACTTAACCACCTGAAGGCAGATACAATATTTGTTTTGCTTAGCCTTAAGAATTTTGGCACCAACCCAAAAGATCAACCCTTTTATCTCCTACTTAAAAATACTTTAAAGCAACAAATATTCAATACAGCAACAACTTTTACGTTGGGCCTGTTATAGCATTGTGCTTTTTGGAAAAACAAAAAATGCAGGGCAGCTTTGGAGTGCAGTTAAATGCTTATAACCAGCAGGTCCTGGGCTGATAACACTTCTAAGATGCATTTGTTGGTGGGTTTGTGACTGCCTGGTTACTGTCAGCTGCTCTGAGCAATGCTTGTATCACAGGCTGGCACATTTCTACCAGTGTCTTCCATTTTGAAATTCAGATGTTGTTTTGCAACAAGCTGCCTGCATATAGCAAACATAGTTTGTTATTCTTTTTTATATATTCTGCAGCTGGTGGTTGAAGTCAATTGTATGACCAGATTTTTGCCTCTCTTTCTCTCTCTCTTTTCTTTTTTTAGCTATGAAATATGTTGCATGAGGCCAGGTTTCTTACAAATAGGTTCTTTAACGCTGGTGAACAAAAGTTTGTTTATCTGCCTTCTTTCTGGAAGAAGGATTTGTTGTGTGTTGACAACAAAAGCTAATCAGATATGGATCTCTTCTAATTTGTGTTGATGATAAGTAGTCTTGAAGCCTTTTTCTCAAAAATTTCCACTCATAATTTACTTTTGTGGATATTGAAATAGTCAATGCTTTTGCTCCCATTTTCTTCAAGTGCGTGAGAACCTGTTTATTGTCCAGAAAACAGTCATTTCTCAGATTTTGTTGGTGATAAACACGGATCAGATGCATCAGACAGGAAACTGTTGAACTCTGTTGTTCTGCTTCTCCCTTGATCCTCTGCATGTCCTCTATGTGAGGGCACAAGAGGTGGAGGCCACAAACTTTCTTCCCTTCCCTGACAATGGACAGAACCTGACAACTGTGTCCTTCATCCTAGCTTCAAATACACTTCACATAACCACAGACATCAACTCCTTGAAGTTTTGTATCCTCAAACCATCTCTTATCCTATTTTATCCTTTGCTAGGTCCCCTGGAAGATCTCTTGAATGTGAGTAAAGCTCCTCAGACTTACTGGCTCAGAGGTGTGCTGGGCTGTGCAGCCTGAGATACAATGAGCCATCCTTTTAAGAAGAAAAAATCTATGGGCCTTTTCTTTCAGGAAACTGCTTCTACCTAACAAGTATCTACTACTTCCATCTTTTGAAAGAATCTATGAAAGTCTTAGATTTTTGTCTCTGACAAGAACTTTTTAACAACCAGTACCAAAATACCATTAATTCATTTCAGGAGCTTTTTGTCTGCCTAAGCTGGAGGTTGAGGTTACAAATTGAGGTGCCAACAAGTGCAATGGCAGTTGAGAAGACATCAGATTCTGTGAAGTGGGAAGCTGACTTGCTCCATCCTGTAGGGAATGATGTACCCTAGTGCACAACAACCTCATACCTTCACTCTGCCTTCCCCGTGCTGCTTTTTTATCCCTCTGCGGGCAGCCTTTTGTCAGCAGGTCTTGCTCGCAGCAGCAGTGTCATCACTGAGTTGAGGATGTACAGGAGCAATTGGGTGAAGAGGTGTCCCTCCCAGTGCTGTCTACACTTGCCTCAAATACAGGAAAATAAAGAACTGTCTGTCTCAGATCCAGGACAAGGATGGTCTTGGCTTGCTCCCAAATGTAAAACTGGTCCACAGCTGGTTTGCATGTCCTGTAAATGGCAGGAAGTCAGAGCTTCCTTTAAACTCCGTAGGTAAAACCCAGTGACAGCTATGCCTACATAGAGCTTTAAGGTGCTGTGACAGCATGTAGGAGTGTTCCACTGTTTGCTGGACTTCATTTCTGTCCTCTACTGCTGTGGTTGAAGTCAAGTACTGATTTGTCCAGACCTCATGTGGACAGGAGGGTTACAGTCCTACTTTGTGTGTGAGACTCAATCCAGGGGCTGGGCTCTCCCATTTATCTTCCTTCCTGGACTGTGATTCCTGTCATGCATGCTTCAGAAAGGAAGTGCCAGCTCCACCAGTTTCAGAAGCAAAGGATATGGTCCTGAAATTATTTTGAAATAATTTGACACTCAGGTGCTGAGAGGCATCCCACCTAAGTGGTGTGGTGTTCCCACGTGGTCAGCAGCACTCCACAGTGCAAATACTGATAGAAGTTGGAACAGATACTAAAAAGTAGGCTTCTACCCCCTTCATTTCCCTTAAATGTTAATAAATATGAGTATCCATTTCCTGGAGTGAGAGAACCTGGTATTACACTTGTGTTCTTGGCAAAAATATACTGTACCAGATCTTCTTTTTGGCCAGAACATGTGATCCAGCAGAGCCCAGACCTTTCCTTCTAGATGGTCTCTATCAGCCCAGTTCTTTTTAAGAGCATGCGGTCACCCTCATATATACCACGAATACTTTGCTCCTAGCAACCCTGTGTTTCACGGATGAGTCATAGCTGGAGAATGACACATTTTCACGTTTAAGGGATGGTTTCAGACACTTCTAATTGTGATTTCATAGCCCTTGGCCAGCAAAATCTGTCTAGGGTGAAGTAAGAAATGGCGGATCAGGAGAATGCTAACGGATGTCAAATAATATCTATATAATTTCTATAAAGGTGGAGGTCAGAAATAAGAAAAAAAGGGCAGTCATGGTGAGATATGGAGTTCCTGTGTTAGCTTAAAACATGGTTTAGTTCTGTTATTCTTTGAACAGCAGGACTGTGAAACAAGCACTCCAGGTCTTGTCCTATCTTGTCCTTCCCCATGCGTGGTTACTCCTAGCCTTTCTCCTTCCAGCCACTGTTCTCACTCCCGTTCCTCTCCTCATGTACAGGGGTGGCCAAGCAGTGGTCTACTCAATATAGAGGGTGCAGCTCATTATCTTTACCAGCATGAACATCCAATGTACAAACGTGTCTCATCCACAACGAGGCATAGAAGCAAGTCATGAACAAATGTGAACATTTGTTTATTACTTATTTATCACCCCTCCTTTTTTCGATGTGGGTCACGTGTATTTTTCTGGAGGGCATGCTGTATGTGAAGAGATTATTTAAATTTCTCAAATTTGGATTATTTTCAGAAAAGGAGCTTCTTAAAAGAAGCTAGTTCAGACCGGGATTTTACTTTCAACAGCACTGAAGACTTATTTCGAACTGATCATCGTTGAAGTGGCGTAAGGATGTGTCTTGTCAGGGCTGGATCCAGCTGTGGCTTGGCCTTTTGGACACGCAGCTGTTTCACTGCCATGTGACTGCCTGGTTGCACACGTGCTCTGTGGTCTGTGGAGGGGAGGAAGTGGGACTTTATTTCCCTAAGGCTCCGGCTCCTCTTGTTATTTCTGTCCCTGTGTGTTGCTGGTGGCTACCAAAGAAAATGCCTAATAGAAAGCTGGAATAGAATACATTTAAAAACTATTTGTAGAGATACCGTTTCAAGAACATTTAGACTAGCTTAAACCTTCATATATTTTGTAGATTAAATTGGTATACTAATTGGTAATCTTCCCTTCAGAGAACTTGCTTTCAGTCAGTCTTGAGATGTAATCAGTGCCATCTCTCAGTAATGCTTTTGCTTTTTAGCAAGTTCTGTGGTAGTGATCGTTAGGCTTCCAGCTGTGCAATGTAGTGACATCTGTATGATGCTCCTCACAGGTAAAACTGCTCTTCTCATTTTTAGTAACTCTTGAATTTTATTTCAGGACATAACTTGGCAAGATGAACACTCGGCTCCGTTCTCCTGGGAAACGAAGGTAAATATGTAGCAATGTTATTTTTAATGTTGGTTTGTCATTTTATACTGTTCCTTGTGCATTTATACTGTCTTCATTTTGAGGCTTGGTAGATTAATGTCACCTTTACTCTATGAGAGCTGTGTAAAGTGACTGTCCTGCAAGTGAAATGGGACTGGTGTGCTTAGATTTACATCAACAGAAACACAGAATGTACTTCATGAACTAATGTTTTGGCTTCAAGTGCAGGTGTAAAACTGATTCATTACAAATTATTTCATTTTTCATTGTAAACTTTTTAAACAACTGTCCATGTTTAACAAACTTCTTAAACAACTTCTCATGTTTAGCAAGACCAGTCTCAGATAATGTATAAACATAACTGCATTTCACTTTTGAAGTCAGGAATAAAGCAGCTGGGACATGGTGTGAGAAAGGTACAGATACCTAGTAACTTCATTGGATTCTTTCTTATGCTTCATCTTTTTGTTATGTACTAGAAAGTAATGAAACTTGTTAACCTGGGGCTATGCTAGAAGCATTGCGTTATTTTCTCTCCAGAAGGCATTTCCTTCCAACAACAGTGTATTTTTCTGTGCTGGGTTGGTTTTGGGTTTGTTTGTTTGGTTTGTTTTTTTTTTTCCCCTCACTTTAAATTCAATATTTTATTAAAGCATTATCTACAATGGGATTCTCCTAAGGCTTACACAGAGCGAGTTGTCCATCTTTCTGAACATGCAAAGTGAGGAAATATGATTGTGCTATATCTGTGGTGGGAATTGTTGAAGAAAATCTGGGAACAAAACCACAGCTTACTGCCTTTCTTGACTGGGTATGGTGGGCAAGTTGATTTAGTCACATGTTTCAGACTTTGTGTTTTCTGGCTTTATCTGCCAGAGAAAGCTGCTTCACAGAATCACAGAATGTTTCCTCTTTCTTCCATTTTTCGCCCTTGGAGTATGTAGATAATAATGTTTGCGCTTATGAATATAATCTGAGCCTAATGCAGAGTAATTATTTGGAAATGCCAGTGAATACTAAATTAATCCGGTTGACCCTAGACGTGTTGTCAGCCTTCCCCGCTCAAGGTCACTGCCCGTAGCTACCACCCCATCTGTGCTTTGCAGATGCTGATTAACCTGTATCTTGATGTGACTCCTGGGTCCCCACAGCCTACAGTGCTGCAGTTTGAGAGAAACCATTGCCAGTCTTCACTTGCCTTAAAACTCCCTTATAAGCTGTGATGGTTCAGGAGCCAGCGGAGGATTTCCTGCAGCAGAAGCCTGGTAACTCAGGCAAGCCCTCCTGTCTTTTAGGACCCTTAGAAGAAGCAGCCACTGGCTTTTAGTATAATACTGAAGAGGCTTTTAGCATGGGTGTACTTGGGTGAAGCTGTCAAGAGAAGAAAAGTAGTGAGAAGAGCGTTGGCAATAAGGTGAAATAAATCATATGTTGGAGAAAGCGGTGTTGTCTCTCTCCTACTTTTTCATGCAAACCCTAAAACTCATTTTTGGGAACATGGCAGCTGTAATCCTATTTCTAAGCTCTCTCTTGATAGGATTTTGTAAGTTCTGAATACTCGAACTTCTTAGGCGTAGTACTTTGTAATGCCCTGACCAGTGATCCATGGTGAGATGTAGCTGCACTCAAATTGATTTTCTCTTTAATTGTTAGTTGTCTTTTCTTTTAAATGCTTGTATGTCTAGTGAAGTGTTTTTCAACACAGCCTGTGGTTTATCCCTTGCTGATTAAGATTATTTTATTATTTTCACTGTCCTCCTGGTGTCTCAAAATGAGGGACTGAAGTGGATATATGCTCTAGTTTCATGCTTTTTTGTAATGAATGGAGGATCGCAGAATGATATGGGAACACTTGTGTGACTGCAGAAGAAAAGTGAGGTGAGGAGGAGGTTTCTTTAGAAATAATTGTCTCAGCTAGTCAAGCTGTGCTTCCCTCTTTCCCCCCTCCCTCCTTGCTGACCAGAGATAAAAGCTGTGTCTCAGCTGTAGGTTGGAAAGTTTCATGACCTTTTCCTGTAACAAAAAATCTAGAGAATTCATTTTCTCCAGCTTTACGGGGTGTGGGTTGGTTAGTTTGTGTGGGTTTTTCCTTTTGTTTTTTCCCCAGTGCCTCATATTGTGTCACTCTTTTAGCCAAATCCTTCAACTGCCGAGTCTTGCATTTCTAAAGGTGGACATCTCATTACGTGCTTACTCTTTGGTCTCTTCCCTATCTAATACTTTAATAAGATAATATTGGAAGTCAACCTCTCCATGAGGTTCCAGCTGAAGAAAAAGTATCCTTGCCCAATTGGTCCAGCTTGGGGAAATGGTGAAGAAACCTGAATGAGCTGTGTAATAAGGTTGACGTGTTGTAATGCACCAAAAAGCTTTTTTTTTTTTTTTTTAACATTGAGACTAAGAAAAATATAGCAAGAAAATCAGTATTTCTCTGTAACTAACTTCAAGAAAACTGAGAAGGTAGTGAGAAGAGTAGAGAAGAGGGGAAGGCATGGTTTCTGCAAGCTGGAGCCTCTCTCAGTGGTTGCAGTGATGCTAATGGTGATTCCAGTTTATTAGGTATGGGAAATTTTTTCTCACGCTAGCTAGTGCAGTGAATTCCCTAATTCCATGGCTGTCAGACTTACCCAAAGAACCGTGTACGAAGTTGCTGTCATTTTGGGCAGAACGTTGTTGAAGAGCTTGATAACTTCACTTCTGTGAAGAGTAAACTTTCTGTGTTCTTATTTTAGACACAAATGTTAGACATGGCTTAAGTCATTCATATCACAGCAAACACTTGCAGAAATATGAAATGTTGCAATATCTCCATTTTTAGCTGTTTGATGTGTATTTAAAGTTCTTGTCTTACCTCTTTATTTTTAAACCCTCAAACAAGGCAAACAAAGCAGAAATACAATGTAAATTGCCGAGTTAGCTGTTAGACAGCATTTAAAATACCAATATTTTTAGTAGAGAACTGCAGCACTTCCCAGAAGGAAATCTGTTCCGGAAGCAATGAGTTCTCATAGCACTGCAAATAAGCTGACATTTTAAAACTAGAGATTGATTTGGAGGGAGTGATTTGTTCATGGGTGGAGCCCTCATGGACATAACACCTCTTGAAATACGGGTTACATTTTTAACTGGAGCTAAAGCCAGGTTTATGAATTTAGGGCATTCTATTTATGGCTTCAGGTTTAAGTCAGATGAAAGCTCACATCTTGGCTGAGTTTAGCCTTTGAGGTTTCTTGGTTTGTTTGAAGTACAAATTCAGTGAAACTCAGCACGGACCTCAAGATATAAATGGAAAAAAAGAATCATGCCTGGGTTTGGAAATGAAATTTCTCTGCAACTCTTCCTGAACTCAAAACTTTTTTTTTTTTTTTTTAATGAATTTAGTAGGGAGCAGAAAATAAAATTTCAATCTGCCACCACAGCTAACATACTGAATGCACAGAGCAGCATGGGAATAAGTTGGAATCTCTTTCTAATTCATGCTATTAACTAAAATAGGTTGATTCCAAATGCTTAAAATTTAAACATGCACATCTAAAAATTTTTTGGTCTTGAGACAAGTGGAATAGTTTCAAAGGTAGCTTTAGAGAGTCCTTTTTGTACTTCTTTCTTTTTAACTCCTGGCTTTTTCCTCTTTCAACTCTCTTCTACTTTCAACAGGCCCTCAGATACTTGTTGAAAAGAGAAGCCTTCAATGTGTGTTTGAAAAAAAACCAAACCAAAAATAAGCAAAAATAGAAAGTGTCAGGCTTCAGTCCCTTCAATAAAGTGGTTGCTGCTTCTCTGTCTGGATTCCCTAATTATATTGCTACAGAAGTTATCTAATCCCAGCAATTATTTATAGAGAAAAAAATTATGTTGCAGTTATAAAAAATGTGGTTTGCAAACTGTTTCCTTTATTTAAAATCAGAAGACAGTCTTCAATATCCTTCTTTGTACTAGTCCTAGTTGTTTTTATGGTTTTGTTTCGGGTTTTTTTCTAAATAGGAAGAAAGTGGCAGAAAATAATTGTTTTCCACTCCTCCCTTAACAACCTGATATTAGAATTGTTTGTTACAAACTGTACTTCAGTGTGATTTTTATCAAGCTGGCATAAGTGGCAATGCTTCCTTGGAAGGAAAGAAGGTTTGAGGTCTGCCTGAGGTCTTGGGTTTTCTCTTCCCTTTTTGCTCTAGACTACAGCTGTTTAAAACACAATGCTGTAAGAATGCTGTTGACTATTAGTTCTTGAGAAAAAAAAACCTCCCAACTTGTGGTAATAGTAGCTGCGTTCAAGGTTTATTTTAATCTGCATGGCTAGATGTTCTCAGCTAAGGATTCAGTTACCTGCATTAATCTTTAGACAGTTGTTCTTGAGCATAAAACCATGCACAGACCAGATAAGGCCAGTATGAGTTTGCTCAGGCTAACCAGTAACAATGGCAAACCAGAATGCTGTTTGTATCACCAAAGAGCAGATCATGAAATTTCCTCTGAAGCTCCAGACTATGTATCTTTGGCATTCTCTTTCTGTATGGACTAAAATTACTTAGATTGGTTTTGAGTGCTTTGCTCTGTTTTTGCCCTTGCAATTGGTCTTTGCTGACCTAAGGATTTCTTTCTGACTTGAAAAAGATCCTGAAAATACCCACAGTGTGCACAGGAAACAAAGCAAAAACGGCAGTTACTTTGGGTCCCATATTTATTTTCTTTTTGTCCATTCAGCAAAGCAAAGTCATCTTCAGTAATTTTAAACTTGGCTTTCTTACCTCTGCATATATCAGGCTGTGCTTAAAACAAGTTGTTTTTGACAGTGTTTCTGCAGTCTTTGTCTCAACAATTTTGATTTTTCAGGCTGCCAAGCAAAACAATTTGTTTTGGCTGTGTTTGCTTGACTGTTTAGTAAAGTATTACACATTCCTGATGAGTGAATAAGATGCTGAAAAAAAAAAAAAAGCACTCCTGGGTTCTTTGTGGTCATCTTGTTTTGAATATAGACTTAGGAACTGAGACCTGATTTTGTATAGTATTATTAAATCATTCTGTTCTTAGTGTGTGGTGCCTCTCTTTTAGAATATGTTGTTTCCCATGAGTATATACAGCCAATATTACAATTTGTTGGATTATCCCTGCCTTGAGACTGAAGTTAGGTCTAAATTTTTCAGTCCAATAAACAAGATTCCTAAATACCCTAACATGGTCTTTTTAAGGAAAGATGGACACACAGCTTCCTAAAAACTGCCATTTTTTATATTACTTATGTTTATTACACAGAAAAATGATCCAAGACCTAAGCATCCTTTATCTTAACCCATGCAGTGGTTTGGTACCAGAGCGATAAGACTGAAAAGAACACAGACTTCTAGATTTGCTCTGCCTCAGAAGTACTTTGTGCATGGTTTCACAGCCACTCTTTCTCCCCCTGTCTCTCTTAATGTGTTGAGAATGACTTGCCCTTGCAATATCTTGAAAATACTGCTGTTTGAATAATAGCTTTTGTTTGAATTTTGATAACTTCTAGAAATTGCGGTTGGGATTGTACTAGCCTGTCTGTAAACTCTCAAGACTTTCTGGGCTGAACAGTTCCCAGAAATACAATTTGGACAAATGGTAAGAAAAAGAAAGTATTTTTATTTTATTCCTTAGATGGGGAATTAAAGTATAGAAACTGCAGCTCATTCAAAATCATACAAAATCTATGAAAGCAACTGGGGACTGAAACCCCATCTCTAGAATCCCAAACTGTGCCTAAATGGCAATTGACTTTTGACCATTGAATCTTACCACAATGTTCAGTGTTTTCTTCCCCAAGGTGGCAGCTGGTCGAGTGCCACGAGTGCTGTTCTGCTGAGAAATGCTCAAGGGCAGCTCACGGCAGCTCTGCCTCAGCCTGAGGAGAGCGAACGTGTGGTGTGACCCTTTACAGACTCGCTGCTACTCTGAGTTTGATTTGGGCCAGGAGAAATGTGCATCAAGATATTCTTTTGGCTGGCAAACCTAAAAAGGAAACATTTTTGGGGGGTAACTGTCTTTTAAATGTCGTTTCCTTTCCTCTCCTGCTGCCAATTCGCAATCTGATGCAAGAAACTGAGCGTAGAACGCTAATTAAACTCACTTTTCTAGTGTCTAGTGACTCATTGTAACGTACAGTGCTATTCGTGACTTGGGTGTCAGCAGGGGGTGTTTCACACATGGGTCTTCTCCATCTCTATGTGAAATTATCTGCCTACTTACACCATGGCTCTGTTGGGTTTCTTTTGGGGAGGGAGAGTGTTAGTATTGTAATAGTATTTTATTGCCAATTTTGTGACTTGAAAGATACTGCATATTTATAATTTTCTTTCATCAGCTACATTTCTCAGGGGTTCGGATGTCTTAAGTAACCTTGAAAGTCAAATAGAAGCATTATATATTTCAAGGAAAATAGGAAAAACTTGTGACTGGTCCACAGAAGTTCTTGTTTTTTTGACTTAAATGCTAGAAGTGGAGTTACACATCTGACCTCTGTGGGCTGTATTTACATCATGCTGAGATGCAGTGCTTTCAGAACCTGTCGGGGTAGTCTTGTCTTCTTCACCTTCCTTGGGGGAGAAAGCAAACTCCTGAAGAAGTATTTTCTTTCAGATTATTCCATGTCAGGTTTTGAACTGTTTAATCTCCAAAGCATATCGTGACACAAATATGCAATCTTAAATGTCAGGTGGTCCTGTCTTCTGAAATGGAAATGTACACCCCACAGTCTCCATTCAAAGAGGACAAAGAGGGCATCCTGTCCAGAACATGCGTCCACGAGTGGGCTGGAAAGGGTACAACTGCTTGAAGTTGTGCTGTGGTGCCATGCTCTTCTCTACGCTAGAAGTAATCTGCTGCTTCCAAACCAGGCTTCTGAGTTGATATTTGGACCCAGACGAAAGAACATCAAACATGACCACAGGCAGTGGCTTTTGCTCCACAGCATAAGAACTTGCTGCTGTTGAAAGGCAAAGCCATCATATTGGTTTTCCTTTTTCTAACATTTGTTCTAACAGACCCCTGCTTCCCTTCCATCAGTGTTTTTTCCTGGATTTTGTTTCCAACACTATTCTGGTGGATCTGGGGCTGTGAGGGTCCCTCTGCCCTCTGGGCACTGACCTTCACTCTCTCTTGGGCTGGGGTCTGAAGGAATCATTTTACTGAAACTGTGGTGGCCTTTAGCTGCTGTCATCTCTAGTGTGAGACCTGGGACAGGCTACTCAGAAGAAGGAAGACTGTTGAAGGATAGAAAGTAGCACTGTTTTAATTCCTACATGACAAAGTACTTATGTCTTCCCAGATGGAATTTTTTTTCCCCCTTGCATAGTGAGGCAGTGCAGGTTCTATTTTATAGTGTGCTGTAGGTTTTTTAAGCTGGGATTTTGTCAGTTCTGAGGTGTTAAAGCATCTTAACTTCAGGGTGGTAAATCTCTTATTCAATAGTATTGCCAAATGAGCCTAGGGAAATAAATCCCTATATTTTAATATAAGGAATGGCAGTCACTGTAAATAATCCTCAGCACCATGGCATCCATAGTTTGTTTATGCAGAATTTGTCTAAAGAAAATTCTTCTGCTCTTAACTTTACATCATGACTTTTGTTTTTTTAAAAAATAATAAAACTGGTGCACTAAGGTTTTTTTCCTCTTAGTTTGTTTTTTTTCTTTGCAGGTGGGTGGGATGTTGAGCTGTTTGGTGAGGGTTGCACTCACCTTATTCTAGCTGAGGTATAATTACTTACAGTTTGTTTATGTTTTGCATCTTCTGATAACACAGTATATTCTTAATGAAAACACAGAACTTGGTGCTTCCTTGCCTATAACCTTGGAAATATATCTGGTTCTTTGGAAAGGTCAGATGTTAGTCCATGAATCAAATTATGTATAGTCAGCTGCTGACTGTTTAAAAAAAAAAAAGTTTTATAAATAATCAGTTAAAAAAAAAAGTTTTATAAATAATCAGTTGCTGAGTTAACATTGGCACTTTGATGAGTAGTTTTTGAATATTAAATACTAGGCATGTAAGACCTGCTAGATCTAGAGTCCCTTTGAACTTAACATGCACAATAATGTAGCACTCAAGATCAAACACTTCTAGTGAAAATTATATGCAACTAGGACTTGTTTTAGACTCAGGCCCATAGATGGTATTGTGGTTTTATTGAGGAAAGACCAGGTAATGGAGTAGAATGGGGAAAACATCACAAATCTCTAGTGAACTTCAAAAGTATCTATTAACTGCTTGTAGCAAAAGCTAGTAATTGAAATATCCTCTGAAATTTTTCAAAACTAATCAGGCCCATGATGACAACAGCATAGCTCTAACAATAAATGCACTTTTAATTTTTTTTAATAGATTTTTTTTTTTTTTTTTTGCATTGTTCCATTTGCCAAAGCAAAATCTAGATATTAGGTTGTTCTTTTCTGGCACTTGCTCTGGTGCTGTGCCCCTAAATATACATGTTCCTCAGAGTGAAATAAGGCCCAACTTTTATTATCCTAAAGAGTGTCCAGCTAGTTGACAATCAAGATGACGGAAGTGGTGGTAAAATGAATATTTTGAAGTAGCACTCCCTTTTGGGTGGCTTTTGCAAGATCTGTGTTATGCTTTAACTGTGGTCATTTGCTTCCTTGACTCAGTGTTACCTCTCATAAGTACAGCTGTCTGCATTGCAAGTAAAAACTAAACAAGGCTCTGGAGTAAGTAAAGACTTACCCTGCTGGAGTTGTTTCTCTTCCTTCAGAGAGGCATTAGAATTGTAAAAATCACTTATCTATGCATACCCATTACATCTAATCCTTTATCTTGGAAGCAGATGCAGTTGTAACATGTTGCCAACTATTTCAAAGACTACAATGGAAGATTGCCTTTTAAACTACACTGTAAATCTTTTTTTGCTTTATATTTTCATGTAAAATATCTATGGCTTTCAAAATGCTTCCAGAACTACTCTGATGTTTTAGTGCTGTGCATGGTATGCACTGCTATCATGGATGGCACTGAGTGACTCAAATCTGATTGCTTTCTCTGACTCCTCTGCAGCAGATCCAGGACACTCTAACATTTGCTTGCAGTTCAGAGTTTTAAAAATTATTACTATTTTTATATAGTAGATGATCTTTCAAGGTCCCTTCCAATCCCTAACGTTCTGTGATTTATGGAGAAAATAAGTTAGCTTTGCTGTGGTATCTACTGTCTGGGAGTTGCCTACCTGTGGGCAAAGGTGTTAGCTGTAGGCATCAAGATCAAAAGTTCAGAACTGTGTCTTTGTGAAGGGCTTTGAAATACTGTTTTTCTTTAACCCTGAGCAGAGTCAGATGGAGTTCAGCATTGCATCTCTGTCCATACAAGAACAAGGTGGTGCCCAGTTGCAGAATGAACAGAGGCAGCCTGTTAAAGCAGCACCTGGTGTCCAAGTCCCTAAATCTTCTCAGGCCAAGACGACCCCTGGCTCTGATGGGTTGATAGCATCCAGAAAGGAAGAGGAGTCCTCCTTCTGGAAGATAAATGCAGAGCGCTCGAAATTTGAAGGAGACAAGTCTGAGTTCCAGTCCCTGACCCCCAGCCAGATCAAGTCCATGGAGAAAGGAGAGAAACCCCTTCCCTCTTTTTACAGACAAGAGTCTACTCCAAAGGAGACAGCAAAACCTGAGAAGCCCAGCATAGCTAAACCAGAGAAGTCTGTTGCCCCCAGCCTACCTTCTATATCTCTCGAATGGGAGAAACCTCGACCCACTCAAATCCCTACTAGTTCTCTAGATGACTTCTTTCTTCCTGACCCACCACAGGACCTGACATCTTCTAGGACAAACAAGGAAGATCCTGATGGTACTATACTTACAGATGCACAAATGCCTGGACAGGTAAGGACTGCTATATCCACTGTCCTTAGATTTAAAAGCTCTATAGCACATTAAATTCTGACAAGGCCACTCTGGAAGCTTAGGGACTCCATAAAGCATTAAGTTGTAGCTAAGCTTGCTGGCTTTTTATTCTGCAAATTTAAATAAGTCTACTTAACCAACATGCTAACTGCTATTGTTTGTTTGTTTGTTTCAGTAAAGTATTTTTTAATGTAATAAAGTGCAGAGGATAAAGGCATCATTTACATATAATACCAGAAAGATTGACATGGCATCCAGTGGCTATCTGACAGCAAGCTACCTAACAGTTTGGGGTAAAGAGCTTGCTATATCAAGTAAAAGAGTTTTTTCTTGAAATAGCAAAACACTTGATGGAAAAAAGATTTTTAATTTGAAAAGCAGATAAACTAGAGCCTAGGATACTTTATTGGTACCCACAGCATAGCGGTGAATGGCGAGCTAGTTTCTCAGCTGTTTTAAGCACTAGCCCAACAGCCACTTCCCAGTGCTTCATCCCAGGCAGCTGGACTGCTGTCAAATGTGTTTTCTCTTAAAGTCCAAAATGGAAATGGAATGAGCTTCCAGAATTAGCCTTCTCAATGTTGGTTTGTTGGGTTTTTTTAAATTTAAAAAAACCCCAAACTACCCAACAACAAAAAATAACCTTAAGCAGCTCAGTGGTCAATTGAAGCTATTTAAAAAGCAGATGCTGATCTGTAAGAATAAAAAGGGAGCAACAGGACATGACATGATGAGTGAAAGAAGAGAGGGGGTTTGAACTAGATGGTCTCCAGAGGTCCCTTCCAACCCCTGCCATTTGTTGTTTCTGTAATCTGAAGCCTGAAAACTGGCAAGTGGAGGTTCTTCAGAGCTGTGCAGTTCTGTTTAGAATCTGTAGCATCACTTTGGCATAAGCTGTTGTTTCTGTAATCTGAAGCCTGAAAACTGGCAAGTAGAGGAGTGGTTCTTCAGAGCTGTGCAGTTCTGTTTAGAATCTGTAGCATCACTTTGGCATAAGCCTGATAAATAACTGTACACCTTAAGAATGTAACATAGCTACCATATTTTCCCAACAGTGATTGTTTAGATTCTGAACAGGATGATGTAAGGTCAGAAAAATGTGGATGAGGTAAATACTTGCAAGAGAAATAAGTGGCAGCACTTAGGCGAGAGCTATATTTAAATTGTGTAGTTTTCTGGAAGCAACTGGCTGTCATTGCAAAGGGCAATACATTGAATTAGTGATGCTGGCATTTTGTGTTTGTTTCATTCTCTGTGGTTCTCACTCTAGTAAAAAAATTGGTGTTTTTTAATTTTTCCATGGGCTAAAAAAATAACTTTTTGCCTGCAGACCACAAGAATTTTAATTTTATCTAGAATTACCTTTTGGTCATTATGAGTATTTTTCCATGTCTACCATTTTCTGGTGTAGGTTCTTAGGTATCCTGGAGCAAGGTGAAGAACTTGAAATGTTGGCTGACAACATTCTAAACTTTCTTTTGTAGTTAGGCAGTCTACTACTGAGTTTTTAATACCATAATTAATAACTACATCTTATTTCTTTTTTTTTCTTTGCAGACTAGTACAAGCAATGTTATCTTGAAGACTGGCTTTGATTTTCTAGACAACTGGTAAAAGATACTTCAAAATAGATCAAACCAGTTCTGGGAAAGGAGTGGAGTATCTTTATCCTTGTATGTTAATTTACTAGCATTTGTGTCTTTTTCTAGAAGTAACTTTCAAACTCTTAAATGTTGCCTTTGTATGAACTTTTGTAATACCATATGCATTTTTGTTTTTTAAACAGTGATAGAACTGTAGTTTCATTTGGATATTTTTTAATATCTGTTAAAATTTTTAGTAGCTACTGTATTGAGAGGATGGGAGAAGTTACCATACACATGTTAAAGAAAACCAAATGAGAGTCTCCATATCCTAGAAATGGAACCTACAGGACCAGATGGCTATTTTCAATTGAAACCTTGCTAGCATGGCTTGTAAGAAATAGCATTGCACATGCAGTGGTTCCAAATAAGCAAATAATTCCATACTTTGGATAACTACCAAAAACAGTATGAAAAATAGGCATACAGAAGAATTGCATTGATTTCTATGTTTCATTTTCTTTGAAAGTAGCTTTTGTACCACTTATTTGAAAACACTTTTCTTTTGAAGAGGGCAAAGGTATTGCCAAAATGGTGGATCCAAAGCAGCACTGTGTTTGTACACTACAAATCTGCTAAAATAACACAAAAGTGTTAGAAGAATGACCCGGGGAAATGACAGGTGCTTCTGGTCTTTGGATTAAAGACTTGAGGGGGGTGGAAGGGAATGGGACAACCCCTAATGAACAGGAGAAACTCTCTTCAGGGAACACAAGCCTCATGATTTCACTGCCTCCTTACTAGAGCATAGCTCTTCACAGTGGTAGTGCTGGAAGTACAGCACTGGGAATGGCTGGAGTGTAATTACCTTTGTGTCAGGAAACCACAATGTTTATGGGAGGTCGTAGCAGTATAAGGCTTCTTTGTTTTTTAAGCAGCTTATCGTCTCAAGGACTCATCAACTTTGGTGCTTTTTCCTCCTTGTGGGTACATTTCTCTTCAGCGTTCAACATGTGGGTTACTTTTGTTCCTAAGGTGCAGAGAGGCATCTCAAGGTGGCCCTCAGCAGACTTGCCTCCAGTTCTGCTTTTGAATGATCTTTGTTTGGTGTTTAAAATGTAGAGAACAAGACTAGTTGTCGTTTTAATCTGTCGTCTCTGAAATGCAGCATGATTTACACACTGACTCTCACTGTGTTTACCTCACCTTGAAGCCTTAATTCCCCCTACGCACAGCCGATGACTGGTCCGCTCCAAAGCCAAAGGTTTGACCTTTCCCTTTACCTCAGCAATAGTCCCATAGCATTTGTTTGGGGTAGAAGGCAAAACAGGGCTCTAATGGGTCCCAGCTAAGGCTGTAAGAAGGTCACCATCTCCTAGACCATAATTGTGCTAGGCTTCTCATGGATTAGCACTTAACATTTGGTTCCATGCCAGGGGCAGTTAAATGTGCGGAACTGGATGCAGCAGGATTTTCTTCTGCCTGTTACAGGAAGAGTTTGAGATGTCCTGGAAGAATCCTTGCCTCTAATTGGTGTGCTGCTTGCTCTGAACAAGCAGAGGATGCTGATAGAGCATTAAAACTTCTTGATCAAGCAAAATGCTGTAAGCTACCACCTTCCCCCTCCACCCCAAAACAAAAAAATAGAACCACCAAGCCCCAGACCTCCAGTTTTTTTATTGTTTTCTTAAAAGGTTTCTTAGCTAAAGGGGAAGATTGCCACAGAGTGTAAGTCATTGCGTAGCCTTATTTATAGACTTCTGAAAGCTTCTTTACATGGTTCCTGAGAGGCACAAACTCCTGTAATTCGTGTCTCTGCCTTCAGCAGTTCAGAAAATACTTGTTTCTACCAGCCTGGACGTTACTGCTGTTTTTTTCTTACCTGACCTTTTTTAGCATTTGCTACAAGCATCTGGCATTAATATAGCTTAGAACAACTTCAGCACAAATTCATTAGGTGTATAATTAGCATTGACTTGCACCTTCTTTTCAAAGCTGACAAATATATTAACCCTGGGGCTTACAGTTACCAGTGAGTATAATTTTCTGTACATTTAGCTGCTGAAAAGTTATAAATCCAACGCAAAGATGTGCATTCGAATCTTGCTTTGATATGGGGAGATCTGAAAGCAAAGACTTCTGCTGTTAAGGAATGTTATTTTAAACCTCTGCTAAATACCTTAAAGCTTCTTAGGAAAAACCTGGGCTGCCTGTCTCTTCCATCGGCTAACTCGACCCTCATACACATTGGGACCAGCTGGTAGAACATGCTGCAGAACTTTTTACTTATCCTGGTAGGTTTTTCCTGTGCTTTGACAAGAGTTGATGCTCCTTCTTTCTCTAATATGTTTTTATTAAACATTCTTACAAAAAAATTGTACTTGGTCACATTTTATATTAACAATGTTTTAATAAAGTCACTTTAAATAGAACATTCAAAGCTTTTGTGCTTTATACTCTGCTTTCCTCAGTGCCATTGGAGTTGTTTTGGGCATCTTGAATCTGCCTGAGAGGCAGCCAAGAGTGATCTGGTCTAGAATTTAGAAACTGACTTTTTCAGATCAGAAGAAGAAAAAAATCAATACACTGCAGCTGTTTTTCAAGTGAGGCTGTTTGGGGAAGTATCTTTGCTTTACCATTTTATCTGACATCTGGGGACAGGATGAGATTTGTGGCTTTTTGTAAAGACTAAAATCTATTTGTACTTCACTGTAATAGACTTAAACCTAACATCCCCCCTACCTCCCCCCCAGTAATCCAAGGCAATATCTGGATCACTATTGCAGGAGCAATTTGAAAACTGTATATTGTGGTTTAACCCCGGCCAGCAACTCAGCACCACACAGCTGCTCACTCACTTCTTCCAAGCAGGATGGGGGAGAGAATTGGAAGGGTAGAAGTGAGAAAACTCGTGGGTTGAGATAAAGACGGTTTAATAGGTAAAGCAAAAGCCTTGTGCAAGCAAAGCAAAATAGGGAATTCATTCACTGCTTCCCACTGGCAGGCTCACTGTGCTTAGTGCAAATGACCAGAACCGGCAATGAACATGAGGTGGGAGACGATCACAAGATTTGTTTGCATCCCTAATCTAGCAGTTCCCCAGTGGTACTGAACTGTACCCAGAGGATGCTGATCTGAAATCAAGTTTATTCCATCCTGTTAGCTCATCACTCTCCTTCAACAGACCGTCTGTCCCCTAAGATCCTCTTTCCATGAGCATTGCTCCCTCCTGTTCTCCCTGCTGTTTGAGGTGAAGATGCCAAGGGACAGGCCACAGCTCGTCCTGCTCCTCACCAGCAGCCTGATTTCCTTGCCAGGACAAGTTCATGTGTCAGCACAATGAAGGTACCTTTTCTTAGGGCTGCTGCCAGGCAGGACAACCACCCATTACCTCTGACTGAACCAGGCTTGGTTGAAGCCTGGCAGCTGTGTCTCTACTCATCTTCAGCCCAACTTGTTACTTTTAAAGCTTACAATTTTTCTGTAAGCATTACTGTGGATTGTACTCTGAATGTCTTCAGGGGCAAAAGATGCCATTACACGACCTCTAAATTACAGCATTTATCAGCTCTGCTGCCTAATGGCTGTAAAACTTGGACCTCATACAGGACCAACATAGAGGGCTAAATGCCCTTGGCAGGTCAGGATTTTACTGGGATGCCAACAAGTCAAAAAACATGTAGCTGCCCTGAAAATAGCTCACTGCGGTTTTCCTATAATGCTTGTCTCCAAAATGAACAAGGGAATGAAAAAAAAAAGAGTGGGGGAGGGAATGTCTTTTGTGGTTTTTGGATGGTTCAGCGATTTCAGTGACCAACCAGAGGTTTACACAAGGGGGCTGACCTCACCCTTACCTTCCCTTCTTGCAAAAAGTGGCAAGAGCGCTGGTGACCCTGAAGTTCAGCTGGCCATTTGTCTCCTGGGCTTGTTTGCTGACGTCCAATAGCCAGAGTGAAGGCAGGCTTTGAAAATTTCCCTTCACTTGTGGCTAGATAAAAAGTATTTAACGAGGATTGTTTTTGTTGCTGCACCTTGAGTACTGTGTTCAGCTCTGGGCCCCTCAGTTCAGGAAGGACATTGAGGTGCTGGAGCGGGTCCAGAGAAGAGCAACGAGGCTGGTGAAGGGACTTGAGCACAAGTCCTATGAGGAGAGGCTGAGGGAGCTGGGGTTGTTTAGTCTGGAGAAGAGAAGGCTTAGAGGTGACCTCATCACTCTCTTCAACTACCTGAAGGGAGGTTATAGCCAGGTGGGGGTTGGTCTCTTCTCCCAGGCAACCAACAATAGGACAAGGGGGCATGGGCTCAAGCTCTGCCAGGGGAGGTTTAGGTTGGATGTTAGGAAGAAATTCTTTACAGAAAGGGTAATCAGGCACTGGAACGGCCTGCCCAGAGAGGTGGTGGATTCACCATCCCTGGAGGTTTTTAAAAAGAGATTGGACGTGGCCCTTAGTGCCATGATATAGTAATTGGAGTTGGATCAGGGGTTGGACTTGATGATCTTGGAGGTCTTTTCCAACCCAATCTATTCTATGATTCTATGAAAATGCCAGCTGCTATGAAAAGATGCAGTGGCATGCAGCATCGCAATGGAGATGGGAGAAGAAAGGTGACAGAAGAAGGAGAAAAGTTCAAATAAGAGGAGAAAATTCACTGTGTGGGTCCTCTCCACCCTGACATTTCCCAGTTATGTGAGCTGAAGCACTGTCTTCAGTTAGCTTGGTGGCAAAATTCTGTTTGACTTGTAGGAAGCCCAGAGTTTATCACAGCTGTTTGTTATTAAAGGTTGACTGAACATCCTACTCTCCTTGACACATTTTTCAGAGCTTACATCTGCCAAGAAGGAAACTTCTGGTGTGTGCCTATAAGCTTATGTTTAAGAAACCCTGTTCTGGCCCGTGCATTGCACCAAACCTTTTGGCTTCCACCCCTGTTCGGCTGCAGCTCGGTTCCTCTGGAGCACAGAATACTGCAAATGCTTGTGGCCAGCAATTACAGCCTTTTTTCACTTCTCCATCCTGGAGAAACCAAGCTGCTGTCGGTGATCCAGGGCACCTAGGAGGTTCCACCAGGCTGGCAGCAGTGCAGGCAGCGACCAGCGGCTGCTGCAGGGACTGAGCTGAGACTGAGCTGACAGTAGCTGCTGCCCAGGGCTGCGCCGCTGCCCCTGAACCCTTCAGCAAATCCCATGACCCACGGTCTGAGACACACTGAGCTGGTTCCAGAAACTGAGTCTAGCCAAAGTCACAGCAAAAGTACCAACAGATGAGAGTGGTCTTGGCCCATTGCCCTGCCAACACAGGAGTACTACTTATTGCTTGTCCTCTGTTTTATCCTCTCTGGTTCTCATCTTACTGAGAGTGGTCTTGCTGTCACTGAAGTCATGCAGTGTCATCTTAGCAAGAAGATGTAAAGTTGCAAGACATTTTAATAACATAGCTAGGTGTCAGGTACTTGCTTTCACTGAAGTACACACAGCATATTAAATTTCATGCAGATCTTGGCTGCATTTCCTCCAGAAACCACTAAAAGGAGTTGAGGAAGGGGGGAAAAATCCTAGATCAAACCATTTTGACTGCTCAATCTTTGGTCAAGTTGTACCATATTTCTCCGATCAGCCTTGATTCAAGCTTTAGGTTGACCCATTAATTGTGGTA